GTCAATTAAATAAAAGTTAAAGAGAATTAACAAATCACAGATTCTTAATGCATTGCATTTTACAAAACGTCCTGACTTTTTCTGATTTGGGGTTGTAGTTTTTGGAGAAGTATCAAAATTATATATCTTATGTATATCGATCTTAAACGCTAAACATTCTTTCACACTGGTGAATTTACAAATAGTTTTATATTAATTTGCTTTGTTTGTATAATAGTGAATCATTCAAACATTGCTGTTTCTTTTGCTGTAGATTGTTTATTTATTTTGCATGCAAACTCATCAAGGGCGAGAAAGCTGACAAAGACTACCTAGTTCTCATCACGTTTTGCTTTTGGATGTATTATAAAATGACAACTATTAAAACAAATTTTACTACTTTACTGCACTGAAGTATAAAGTTTAGCAAGTGTAAGAAATCTCAAAGTCTCATGTTTAATAAATAAATAAATAAGACCAGACACCAACTGCCTAGTAGGGTTAATTATTTAACTTTTTTATCTAGTTAACTACAAATGAAAATTATTAATGCTTTAATAATTAAATAATAATGCATTAAATACATTTAAATATTTTTAGATTTAATTTAAAATCTCAAATTTTTTAGGACACGTCAAAAAGAGGCTTTAAGTTTGATCTTTAACTGTAGAAGCTGCTAAATATATTCAGCCAACACAGACTTGTTACTGCTGTAAGTTTATTCTGCATCACTTAATGCACAGCTTTATTTTGACATTGATTCGTCATGGTTTTGTTCTGTCCATTGCCACAGTTATCACTGACAATCATAGCAAAGACTTTCAGAACAGTTTAGCAGATTCACTCCTGCAATTACACTGTGAATGGACTACACAGAGAAACTGAACAAAGGATGCTCCCTTTATAGCACAACTGACCAAGCTCACTCACGTGAAAACTCCTGTTATAATCAATGACTAACTACACACTGCACAATTAATCTCTTATTTACACGGTGCCTGTGCTTTTTTGTTATAACGGGAGCATTTGTGAGCGTGTAGAATTCAGTAATCTTGTGAAACTTTACGAATCAGACAAATTACCTATTTCTGGATTAAAAACAGCAAATTTTGCAAAAAACTTTAACAATACCCCTCACATATACTGACAGATTTTCAAATCATTTTGATACTGATTCAGAATCTCTGGATTCAATTCAGTATTCATTAATTTGAAAATATACAAAACAGTACATGTAAATTTTTCTTAAGGAAAAAGTATTGTGATGACATTAGTTATTGAGAGACTAAACTGACCTGCTCGATGCGGCCTTTCCGTAGCTCCAACATGGCCAAGTTATTGTAAGCTTCACCGTGGTTATTGTTAAAAGCCAAGGCCAGTTTAAAGCACTGGTAAGTCAGAGTCAAGTCACCAATGCCCTGTGGAATAGAGAGAGAGGAGAAAAGCCTGAAATGTCCATAATTTATTCATTAATAACTTGGGTCATTACAGACTGATGTTAAGATTTTTTCAAAACCAGCAGATGTACACAAATCTCAGCAAATCTACAATAAAATTTAAAAAAATTAAAAAATCAGTCCTTACTCTTTTGCCATTAAAAGAACATGTTTTGCCACTTGTTTGCCAGCAGAGGTTATATGAGAAGCACACCTGGCTTTCCATGCTCCACTAATGTCTGGTTTGCAAAAAGACGTTCTTTTGAGTGATATCAGTATGAATCTACCTCCTGTTGGGTCTGATTTAGTCTGACTGACCAAGTCTCCAAATCAGTTGTCAGATCACTGACGTGAGAGTTTGTCACAGCAGTGAGGGACAGTGAGCGGCATGCTCTCTCTCATCTGCAGACTTACACAGGTCACATTGGGTTCTGAGTGTCTGCTCACCACTGCAACATGCCCCAGATTATACCAGATATCAGCCTGTTCCTCATCACTGGACACCAGGGCTAAAGCTCTCTCAAAGGACGACAGGGTCATATCATACTGCTGGGCGTAGACACAGCACAGGCCCAGATTGTTATACAGCTGACAGTTGAAGACCCCCATCTGCAGCAAGCGCCTAAAAAACAGGAGACAGAGGCTGAATTTACACAAGATACGATGCAGAGATCCATTGTTGACCGTCACTAAAGACTCAAATGACTGTTTTAGGGCTGCTAATAACAATTATTTTTTCTATTGTTTATATTTTTGATTGGTCGATTAATCCAACGATTAACATTTGAATTATGCGCCAACACAGTTATTGGACTGAAAAAGTTATTTCCCATTAACAATGATGTAGACACGTACTCTCCAGCCAGTCACAACTCTGAGTTTATGCATATACTTCACATTTTCTTACGCTGCTTCAAATTTTCTTTTCAAACCGGAAGAACAAACCCCACCTTTTTCTTTAATCATAAACGCAATGAGTGCTATTCATTGTTTTCAGTGATGTGCAACCTGTATATATCTGTTAACTTCTGAAAATGTGTTACAGGGTTTCACGACCCTTTAAAATTCATAGTTCAGAAAAACCAGGACAGGTTTCATTTTTTGTCCCATGATGTTCACTACTCAGCATTAGTCCCACCCTCCCACAGCTTTACACATTCTCAATCAGTGTCTTCATGTGGAATATCCAAAATAATTTCCCAGATGATAGTTACCCTGTCATACTTATTGCCTGCTCACCTTTTTAGGGATGTTTTTGATAGCATCTGCTCTATGATCAAAGCTATAATAAATAGCTCTACTGTCTATGGGTTTGTTCCCTGCAAAAAACTAATTTCAGGGGGGAAGCATCACACCAATATTATTACATAATGCATATATAATATAATATAATATAATACATATATAATATAATATACATTGTGAGATTATATGCCTCATCACTATGAAGTACATGAATAGAGTTTCTCCTTTGATAGTCAGCCAATTTAAATGACATTAACACCAAAACTTAAAGCTGTCCTGACTTCTCTTTTTCATTTGCTTGCTCATAAGCGGTGTTAGCAGGGTTGGTTCATTCAATTGCAAATGTATATCGTCTGACACCTTGTGAACAAATCACCAATAAAAAGCTCTTAATACTGGAAGCAGGGCTTCTCTCTCATGCCCAGTTTTCAGGATATTGTATATGATTTGCAGGCATTGCATGTAATTTGCCGCTGAGGCTCCTGGGCCTTCTGGGAGAGGTGAAATGTCTGCAGTTCCAGTTAGTTTTAAAGAAGCCATTGTACAGCCTTTATTGAAAGATTCTCATCTTGACCTCACTGTATAGAATAATTACTGACCCATCGCCAAATTACCTTTCATCTCAGAAGATGTTGAGAGAAGGTTATGTTGTCAGATAAATTTCAATTAGGTTTTCGTGTTTTAAGCTTTGCTGAAAGTCACAAATGTCCTTCATGGTTTGTCTATTTTAATATTGTCATGATATTCTGTTAAAACACCTTGAGTGTGTACTTTGGCACACAGGGCCTTGCATTACAGTGTTCTGCTTCCTATTCCCTTCCATTCCTAATCGTTGGATTAATCTGCTTCCCGCTCTGTGTTTCTCTCACACACACACAAAGAGAGAGAGAGAGCCTTACATACTGTACCACGTAGAACTGACGCACTACATGTAAATTATGTTTTTTGTTGTATTTTCCAGTGCTCATTTGGAATTATTCAGCCTTTTTAAAACATGCAACCAGCTAATGTGGTTTAACTAATGTGCAACCAGCAATCTCATTTGCTGGCGCTCACCTATTACCGTCACTGTTTTGATTTCAGCAAATCATCTCAAGCAAATGCAGACAATGTGATTAATATTCATTACCAGCAGCTCATCAGACCTTTTATGTTGTTTTTAGTAGTAGTAGTAGTAGTAGTATCATCTTATCAGTATTATTGTTAGTTTTTTTTACACTGAATGATCAACAATGCCCTAAGTTCTGTTAAAATGACAAATATGCATCCATTTTCATTTTTAGACATTTTCATGGTTAGTTCTAACCATATATATGGGCATCGGAAGCAAAATAAATGTGGGTGGGTCCTCCCCCAGAAAAAAAATGACTGGAGTATATGCCATTTTCTGTAGTGTGGTGCCTTTTAATTAACAGTGTCTATTTACACAAAGTGCAAATAGGCCGCCTGGTTGGCAGCAGCTATTTACTTCACCTCCGCTCACTAACGTGACAACATTACAAAAGACGGCTGCTGAGCAATATTTCCAGTGGCGCAAGTGGTAACGCGGGTTGCGTAGTGTTTTTGATGCGAGCGACCCGAGTTCGCATCCACCTTTTGCCGAATTCGTTCTTCTCCCTTTTCACATCTCATATCACATCGGAAAGGCTTTTGTTTTCAATAAATAAAAATAAAAATCAAGGAAATAATCGAAAAGTTGCTGTGTTGCGGGAGTGCAGCAGGCGCGAGTAGTGAAAACACGGAATGGAGTTTAATTTATATGGACTCTGAATGAGCCGAGTGGAATGGATTTGAGGAAGCAGCGGCGTGGAATTCAAGGCTGTAGCTAAACGGAGATTTATTAGGGCATTCGTCATGTGGAATGGATTTGACTGACGGCACTCTGAGAAGTACACATATTCGCTGAATTAGAGACTGTAAAAGTGGGTGGGTCCTGTGTCCCACTCTCATTCAATGGTTCCGACGCCCATATATATATACTATATATTAGTGGTTCAACGGATCACAAAACTCACGGTTCTGACCATATTACGGTTTTTGAGTCACGGATCGGATAATTTTTCAGGGTCAGCAGGGAAAAAAAACTTTTCATGTAACTGCTTTCCATTAATTACTTCAAGTTAATTACTTCTTCAATACCACAGCAAAAACTTCTAGGCTAACTAAGAAAGTTCAAACATGATTAAAGACAAGTGAACAGTCAACAAATACACAAATTACAAGCATAGATAATGTCACGGTCAAAGTTTTGTTGTTCATTTGTGGGTATGTGTGTATTAATTTGGTTCCTTTCTTTCTCCCGAGGTTGAGCTCCGCCCACACACACCTGTAGCTTGTTGAGTAAGGACGCTCCGGACTGAATATAAGGCGGAAGTCGCACTTCTGTCCAGAGCCTCTCCCTACCCCATCGTGGGTCTGTCACAGTGACTGCCACGCTCCTTGAGATTGACTCGCACTTGTTGAGAAGCTATACTGCCGTCCAGCCATCGACGTTGGAGAGCATCCAGTGAGCTTCGTGCGCGTCTTGCTGTTTAGCACCGCTGATAAGCGGGGTTTTCTCTCTCTGTGTCTCTTTGTGTTTTCTTTAACGTTTCTGTTGATCTGTGTTTTGTTCGTTTACTGAACGCCCTTGGAGGTATTTTTCTTTAGTTTAACTGATTTAACTTTATTACATCTGCCGTTGGTTAACTAACGTGACTCACAAGCTGTTTGACCTTTAATAAATGGTTAAAATTGATCTCCTGTCTTGCCTGTCCATTTTATGTTGCTTACCCCTTCTTGAACGAGTCTTTTAGAAGTGGGGTTCGTAACAATAAATACAACAGAACAAAGTTACAAATAAAATAATGTTGTAGTATTCAGGTACAGAAATGTAATAATTTAGTGTAAAATAACACTGCATAGTGTTCACTGTATAAATAAAAATATAGATGAATCTTTGTCAAAGCTGTGTTTTGTTGTTTGATTAGCTGTGCTGTTCAGACTACATGACTTGCTGTCTGTCTTGAAGTCATTGTGTTCACACTACGTGACACTGCGTGAACGATCCGCAACAGAGCATCACACACTACACCAGCTGACAACAACTCTGTCACCCAACCACTCTACAGTCTTTTTTTTTTTTTAACTGATGTCTGGAAGAAATTAGTGCTGCAAGCTGTTTGTGTGATGAAACATTTCGCTCCATTTCTTCTGTCCAAACTTTTCTTAAAGCCGTGTTGCTGCTGCTGTTTTTCTTCTGCTGACCTTAAAGGGATAGTTCACCCAAAAATGAAAATTCTGTCATCATTTACTCTGTAAATGAGTAATTTCTTTTCCTACTATGGAAGTCAATGGGAACCACCAACTGTTTGATTACCAGCAATCTTCAAAATATCTTCTATGTTCAACATAAGAAAGCAACTCATACAGGTTTGGAACAACATGAGGGTGAGTAAATGATGACAGAATTTTCTTTTTTGGGTGAACTATCCCTTTAACCCATGTCTTGCTCTCTCATTGGCTGTAGCTCGTAGAGACACCTGACATCACATGATGTCGAGTCGGCCGACCAGTCCAGATATACTAGATATTTGTTTGGCGTCGGCGAGACTCTTTGATGCGTCGTAGAGTAATTCAGACAAAGATTGCTGAGCGCTGATCACCCGCTGATTTTCCCCTAATCACCTGTCGGCGAGCTCGTTAACTTGCAAATTGTGCTTAAAGTCCTGTAGTGTGTTTTTGGCTTAAATGACAGAAGAAGGTATTTGTAGGCTGCTGTCCCTTTAAGACCTGATGCACGGATCCAATATAATGATACACATCCGATTTCTTTCTCAGCTGATTTCATTCACTTAAGACATGAAATGATCGTCGAGATGGGTATTTTGTCATCATTTTATGTGTATGTGTCTGTTCAAACGCAAGGAGATGCGAAAGAGGATTCAGTTCGGTGTTCACGCGCTGTCTGAAACACGAGTGTGTGTGCGGCTGAGCGCAGAGAAAACAGCGTGCGAGTACCAAATTAAATGCTCTTTCTCTTCTTCTTGTGCTGGAATGGTTTAAAATCGCTTGAGTGTGATTCACGTACAAATGATAAACTTTCATTCTACTATGGTTCAATTTTGTAATTATTCCATGGATCACATGCGTGCCGAACCGTGGGGCCTGGTCCGTACGGATCACGGATCAGCTACGATCAGTATACATACAGTATATATACACAGACACACACAAACACATATATTAGTCTGGTGAGTAAACTAAAAAATTTACCAGCAATGGCAATTCTATTGCCAATGTGTCCATAGAGGGTTATTTATACTGTTTCATGAACTTTATAAAGTTTTTAAAATGGTCCAAAATTTGTAAGAATGATCAGTTTCTATCCTTATGTTCACTCTCTGTGAAAAACATGCAGTTTAAAGGGCATGTCAAGAGTTTAAATCTCCAATCAGAGCTTTTTCTTAAAAAGATACACTTTCTGCCCAGTGTTTTACTTATTCTTCCCACCCTGGCAACCATAAACACTCTCTCTGGGCTGCTAAAAAGCACTGATGATCTGAAAACCCTGACAAACATGTGTGCTGGAGTTTAGCGATCTCCACTGACATATTCTGCTCTAATTAAATAGTCATACAGTCGCTTGTGCTGTTTGCTGCTACTAAATTTGCAAACAAACAGAAACAACCTGTAATAAATCCAAACATGAATTTCGGCCAAACTGTTTGCGATTGTGGTTGCTGAATAAATGCACTTACGCAACCTTTGTGCTACATACAAAGTAAACTTTTTAAATAATTTAGAAATACTGGAATTAGGAATTTAGCTGTTTTAAACATGTTTTTATAATGTGAAAGAAAGAAAGAAATAAAGTCACCTGTAAAAGCGCAGGGCGATCTCTGGCTGGTCTGTGTAAAAATTATTGCTGCCAATACAGGCAATGGCCTCCACATGTGTGTTGTCCTGCTTTAACACTTCTTTATAGTATTCTGTGGCTGAGATCATGTTATTCATTTCCTGATGGAGACAGGGAGATTATTCTATTACATAAATAAGACAAATTAATCCGAAGTATAATAAATTATGTGAACATTAAAAAAAGACAAAAATACCAAACAAAAAAAGACAAATAAACAGATACCTCATGGATGCGTGCGATTCCCGTGAGCAGCGTGACCTCGGCGGGGAAGTGATCCAAGCCTTGCTTGAACACATTCAGAGCAGTGATGGGCTGATCAAGCCGCTGATACACCTGCGCAGCACAAAGAGCTCTCACTGGGTAGTACTTACAGCAAGCCGAACACAATAAAGCTTGACCTGTCAATGGTACCTTTGCGAGGTAGAGGTAAGTATCAACAAACTCTTGGTGTGTGAGCGCTGATCTGAACTGCTTCTCAGCTTCACGGTGCAAACCCAATCTACAAACACAATTGGTTCATTGGAAATTGGCATTAACACACAAAGGAACTCTCTACCAAAAATGAACATTAGCTGAAAATGTGCTCATCCTCAGGTCATCTGAGATTAAGATGAGTTTGTTTCTTCATCAGATTTGGAGAAATGTAGCATTGCATCAGTGTCTCAGCAATGATATTTGCTGAGTCAAATATATAATATTTATTAATAATAAATAAAATTATATAACAAATAAATAAACAAAGTATTTATTTGTTGTTTTTTTTGGTTTGTTTTAAATAAATGAATACATCTATATATGTGCGCGTGTGTCACAGCTTTCCCTGTCAAACAAATAAAACATCTGAATATCAGCTGGGGTCGGGAATGTTGAGGCTTTCTCCCTCCGTGTCTCGCGCTGCTCAGCAGTAGCAGCACTGATCGGCGCATGCGCAGCACAGAAGTGAAGCCCTCCTCTCTTCCCAGCTGTGGAGGTGAGTGTTGATGAACAACTGACTGAGCTACCTGTGCCTCGTAGATATATACAATATTGCACATCTCTAATATATTTAACGTTTTGTTTAGAAAAAAATGTAAATAAATATAAATGCCCTTTTTTCCACTTCAGCCCCTGCCCCTCAAAATGTCTGTGCATGTCCCTGTATTTCTACATTGTGCAGTATATACCAAAGAAAGAGAGGAGTTAAGAAACTGAGAAACATAAGAGTAATTAATTTCACTATATCAAATCTTTTAAATTGTGCCTCAGGACAGACAAGTATTGTGAGAGAAATTCTTAGTTATCTGAAGATAACAGGATTAGAAAGTAGAATTTAAATTTCATATTAATACTACTTTTTTCCTTTTTTCCTTCCTTTCTCCCTCTTTTGCCTCTTTCCCGTTAATGCTTCACACTCCAGTCCAGTTGGTGGCGGTAATACACCATAAGTTGACTTGTCTACCGCCATTAAATCGTACAAGAAGAAGAAGAAGAAGAAGCTGCACACCCCGGTGCAGTAGGTGGCGGTATGCACCGGAACAAGCTGGTTGTGACCCGCCATTAAAACCAGAGAGAGAGAGAGAGAGAGAGAGAGAGCGAGAGAGAGAGAGTTCAGTCCTTCACTGCGGTGGAAATAATATTCATTGTTATTCATCTGCGGTAATAAATACTGATCGCACTTTTTTAATTTTTACTTTGCTGCAAGCACTATTAACACATTTGGTTCATGTTATGATAGTTTCTTCTGAACGTGAATGATCGCTTAATCAGCATGCTAACAGCTAGCAAACTCGAGCTGCCCATCAATAACACTTGTGTCACATATAGAAACAAAAATAATATCTGAATATAACTAAACATACTCATCTTGTAAGCGTTTAACAGCGGTCACACGTTCATCTTGCTGTCAGTAGTGTGTTTGGTCACATACAGTAGATGTTTGGATGTGCAGTGACAGTTTCTGAGTTTCTTTCTGAGTCTTTGTAGAAATACAGCAACCCTTGTTTTGCTCGTGAAATAAGCAGCGCAGAATACAGAAGTGCATCCTACAAGCTCCATACTGAAAAATTGATATATAATGTGTCAAAATATAAAGTTAAAGATTATAAAGTATAAAGATTTTAAGTAATAAATGTTCCTAAAAGTGTAAACAGCACTGTGCATCAGAATTTTGGCTTTTAATAATATTTATATTCAGTTTACTGATGCCTCTTTAAATATCACCATGAATCTGATGGAGGGTGTGTTTTCATTAACATAAGTTTCTGTTGAATTATCCTTCACAAGCGTTTCTGTAGACACGAGTAATTTCTTGTGAAGGGCCATTCTGAGTTTTCTGAATCACTGATAATCAGTTTAATTGTCCGTGTGATGAAGTGTTTGCAGTAACATCAGTAAAACGTACTCATAATGTTTGTTTGTTTCTGTCGTGAAGGCTGGTTTAGAGAAATCTCATCATGGGAAACACCAGCGATCGAGTGTCTGGAGATAGACATGGAGCGAAGCCGCAGCGGTCAGACAGCGGAGGACACCGAGACCTGGAGCCCAGCAAACTGATGGACAGCACCGACGACCCCAATATATTCAACACACACGGGCCAGAGTCTAAAGTATGCCAGAACAGATGATGACATTTTTTAAAACAAATGACTTCACATGCTCATGTGCATCTGATGAATTTGCCAATACTTTATTATCTATTTATTAGGGCTTGGTAAAAAATATCGATATCTCGATATTAATCGATTCTCATTTTTACGGAACGATAACGATTCTTAAATCCCAAGAATTGATTAGTCTGTTTTCAGTTAATGGACTGAACATTGAAGTGCACCTCCCATCCAATAAATCAAAATAAGCATTGTGCTTTGGTACTTTTAATATGAAACAAAGTCTCAGATTTCAAATTCTGTCCATTGTATTGCAGTATTTAAACAATAAATGCAGTTTTGGCTCTGTTTAATGTGGAGTGACAGATCGCTGTAGCGCCTCGGTTTAACAGAAGTGAACTGATCATCTCCACATTATTACTAGTTATAGCACAAAATAAACATGACTAAACATCTGAAGGTAAGTTCAAAGAAAGAGTGCAGGTGCATCTCAATAAATTAGAATACTTCATAAGACCAATAAAAAAAACATTTTTAGTGAATTGTTGGCCTTCTGGAAAGTATGTTCATTTACTGTACATGTACTCAATACATGGTAGGGGCTCCTTTTGCTTTAATTGCTGCCTCAATTCGGCGTGGCATGGAGGTGATCAGTTTGTGGCACTGCTGAGGTGGTATGGAAGTTTTTGGCTATTGCTACAAATATACCCCAACAACTTAAGACTGCTTTTGTGGTCCAGGGTCACATTTATATATATATACACACACAGGTGCATCTCAATAAATTAGAATACTTCATAAGACCAACAAAAAAAAATTTTTAGTGAATTGTTGGCCTTCTGGAAAGTATGTTCATTTACTGTACACAATTTTAACCTTCAATATTATAGTAATGTAGTACCAACTGACTTGTGTATATTTTACAGCATTAGTTGAGAGATTTTTTTTCCTTGAGAAAATTTGGCATGTACTGTACCTGATATATATCCAAAATGACTGATATTGAATCGAATCAGTAATCGAATCGAAGCTTGTGACTGAGAATCATGAAATTTGTGTCAAAACCCAGCCCTACTATTTATCGTCATCATTACCATCTTCCAGCCTCTCTCTGACAATTAAACAGACTATTGATATGTAAACAGTAATCAAGACTTTGTTTCATAAATGACCTCAGGAATAATTAGCAGACCTCCTGTGAATTACCGCTGGAGAGTTTGCTCTCATATCATTCTAGTCAAAAGCAGCTCTGTTCTGCAGGCCGCGGGTGAGAAGGACTTGGCTCCGGATCTAGAGGACATGGTGAAGACGGGTCGGCAGGCTCGACCCACAGTGATCCGCTGGGCCGGAGGAGGCAAGGAGGTCTGCATCACCGGCTCCTTCAACAACTGGAGCAACAAGATCCCCATGAATAAAAGGTATCTGTGCGCTCGTCTTTCTGAAGCGCAAACCATAATGAACAGAAGGTCGCACGTTGTTATTTCATGAATTAAGATGAAAATGCTTTTCTGTTTTTTTCAAGCCATAATGATTTTGTAGCAATCTTGGACCTGCCTGAGGGTGAACATCAGTACAAATTCTTTGTTGATGGCCAGTGGCTTCATGACCCCTCTGAGGTGACTATATCTGCACAACGGTCTGCATTTAAACCGTCACGTGACTTTTGAACATAGCTTTCTGTTGTAAGTATTGCTACTATGTAGACAAATGGCAAGCAAACATGATGTCAGTTATGGAGGTTGTAAGTGTACAGTCTGTTGCACACAGACGAGAAGCAGCTCATGATCTCGTGGTTAGGACTGATTCTGCTCTCACACGCTCAAGCTCAGGGGCAGCCGTCTAAAACACTGAATCTCATCACTATACAGGCAGAAGTTCACTTCAAGAATGAACAAAGTGGAATTAATTAGACTCAAGTTGGGTGAATGAAAGAAACGGAAAGAGAAGGTATGATCTGTATTATTATATAATGAAACAGTCAAGCCAAGTCAGCTTTATTTCTATAGCGCTTTATACGATACAGATTGTCAAAGCAGCTTTACAGTGTTAAACAGGAAAAATAGTGTTTCAATAATGCAAACTAAATTAAATTCAGCTGTAAGGCAGCTCTAATAAGAGGGCAGTAGACAATAAAGAGGGTTAGATCCAAACCACAAAAAGACAAACGATTTACTGAAAAACGCTAATCTTCCAGCAGAGATTGATGTCAGTGTGTACATTATCAATGATTTGGGACAAATATAATGTAGAGGAAAACCATGTGTGGTGCGTCAGGATTCTGAAGCTGTTTGCTGCTGGTGTGTGATCATAAAACAGTGTGTTTGAGTTTGAAAGATGTGTGACCCGCTGAAAGATACACAATTAAATCAGAGAACACCACGAGCACAGTCTGAGTAAACAACAGTTAGGGTTTTAAATAAGCACAAAATGAAACTGAAGCAAATCTGGTTAATCTGTTCACCCTAAATAAAAACTCGTTTCATCATTCCCTCAGCCTCATGTCACTCCAAACCCATGATAATGCTTTTCTCAGCATTAGAGATGTTCAGCAGGACTGTTTTTCACCTCTCTTGCATCACCATCGTAATCTGTTGTGCTTTACAGAACGAAGAGTCACATGATGGCTGGCTGAAATCGTTCCTTTGAATTGAAATGCATCTGTTTTCTCTTCAGCCGGTTGTCACCAGTCAGATGGGCACCATTAACAATCTGATCCATGTGAAGAAATCAGATTTTGAGGTGTTTGATGCACTGCAGGTGGACTCTCTCGAGTGCTCTGATACGTCCGGTAAGAGCCGTCTGTCAGTGTTAGAATAACAGAACACAAATGTGTGGATGTACAATCGCTGTCATGGATGTCTGTTAAAAGATCCAGCAGAAAAAGCCAGTGTTAATGTGATGCAGTGTTGTGTGTAGATCTGTCCAGCTCTCCGCCTGGGCCGTACAGACAGGAGGTGTACGTGTTCAAGCCTGAGGAACACTTCAAAACACCCCCCATCCTGCCGCCTCACCTCCTACAAGTCATTCTCAACAAAGACACCAACATATCGGTGACAATCCTCTCTGTCTTACTGCCACGACTCTGTTACATGTACAGTAGTATTGCCAAAGCATCCGGGCAAAAACATGCGCCAGTAATGGTAATAAAAATAGTGTATCAGTACATAATTAAAGAGTCATGAAACCTCAAACCATATTTTTGAGATGTTAACAGATGCTAAAACAATAATAATAGCACCAATTAGGTTTATTAATAAGGGGAAACTTGTCATTTTTGCATTTTTCTGAGCCATTTAGTTTTTCTGGTTTGAAAAGCAAAGTTAATGCTGCTTCACAAAATGTGTGTTAAACTCTTGCAGCCAGAGTCTGGACTGACTGGAAAACATCAGTTTCCAAGATTTTCTCTGTATTATTCATGAGAAGGAATTCGTAACATCCAATCACTGCACTATATTATGCATGACAAAGTATTACTTTGACGGTCTTGAACCCTCATTTCTGTAGAGACATGGGTCATAAGTGTGCGTTTCTTCAGTGCATTAATATGAAGTGTTGTTTGTGTTTTCTTGCTACCAACACATTTCTATCACAACACGCAGAGCATGCGTGAGCGCTGTTTTGGCACAGTCGCGAGGAGTTCAACAACACTCAGTGACGTTAATATCTGGACTGGTTCAAGGTTTTATGAGCGTAGTCGAGCAGACCAGTAACTCAGAAAAGTTTAAATGCTCATTTGATTACATTTTTAAGAACAATGTATTAAAACATTTGTTCATGATAATTGCTTGTGGTATCTTATGATATGATGCGTGGAAGTTTTGTTGTGATAGCACTATATTTTTTTCACTCACATTTTAATATTCATTAATCTGTATAATTGTATAAGTGCTTTATGGCTTGATGTCTCCTCTATTCCCGCCTTCTACATTCCCCCTTTTGTACAGCTTTACATGAGTCTTTTTGAAATCTGAGATGTGAATGAGCAGTGCTAAAACAGGGTTTCATGACGCTTTAAACATTCAACAAGAAATTAATGATCTTTGCTTGGTTGTTTTTATTTTTATCAAGATTCTTTCTCTGCCCGTTCAGTTCAATAAAAAATTTCATTGAATTGAACCCATGAGCTCTACTTTAAAAAAAACGTATTTTGTTCCTTCAGCTTGCTCTTTTAAATGCATAAACATCAGTCTTGAGTCTTTTAGCAGTCTGTTTTGCGTGTTTCAGTGTGATCCTGCCCTGCTGCCAGAACCCAACCATGTGATGCTCAATCATCTGTATGCGCTCTCCATCAAGGTACATTAAACACCTCTAAAGCAGCCTTGTGCTGACAAACGCTCTCATATAATGGTAAATAACTGTGATCGAATGTATTCTGTCTCAGGATGGTGTGATGGTTCTCAGCGCAACTCATCGTTATAAGAAGAAATATGTGACGTCTCTTCTGTACAAACCTATTTAATAAGCTGTGGATGATGCATGGTCTGCTGTCCTCATCCTCTATAGTCCAGATTGCACTATAAACCCGCGATACATGGAGTAGATCTGTCAGCTTGAGACTTCAACAGTAGTGTGTATGTGAGTGCGTGTGTGTGTCTGTGAGTGAGTGAGTGAGTGAGTGAGTGAGTGAGTGAGTGAGTGAGTGTGTGTGTGTGTGTGGTGAGAGAGTGTGTGTGTGTGTGTGTGTCCTGTCATCACACATTCAATTCAAGGACATCTAAACTTCATGTTTGCCGTCTTGGCTGCAGCATTTTGCGATTACAATCTTGAGGGCCAGAGTTTTATCTGTCCAAAGCGTTTATAAAATGTTGTCAAACATGATTCATATATTTGAAACCTGCTACAGACACAAGGCGTTCATAAATAAAAGTGAGTTCAAGTTTAGAGTTTAACACAGATGAACATTTGAACGGAATGATTCATTGCATGCTTTTGTAGTGTCAAACTTCATTTTAGAAACTGTGTCTGTTTTCAGAATGAAAGGAAGTTTCAGCCAAACACAGTGGCATTTAGTATTTACCTTCCTAACAGAAATATTCACTTCAATACTTTCACTTGGGCATTGATGTGCTTTGAGCAGAGTTGCGTTATGACTTCATCAAAAGGAAATTTTAAAAAAGTGAAAGTGAAAAAGTGACGTGACATGTGGCCAAGTATGGTGACCCGTACTTGGAATTAGTGCTCTGCATTTAACCCATCCAAAGTGCACACACACAGCAGTGAACACACACACACCGTGAACACACACCCAGAGCAGTGGGCAGCCATTTTTGCTGCGGCACCCGGGGAGCAGTTGGGGGTTCAGTGCCTTGCTCAAGGGCTCCTCAGTCGTGGTATTGAAGGTGGGAGAGAGCGCTGTACATTCACTCCCCCCACCTACAATCCCTGCCGGTACGAGACTCGAACCCGCAACCTTTGGATTACGAGTCCGACTCTCTAACCATTAGGCCACGACTGTAAGGGATTTACAAAAGCATCAGAATGGCGCAAACAGATTTTGAACTGTGAGTTTTCTGGAGTTTTACTGCGTGTGGTTTGAATTTCACCGTGATGCTGTCAGACGAGCACTTTAGCTGTTTCACGGTGACACAAACACGTTCTCTTTATTTTATCAAGCAGGAATGTATTTTTGTGTCTGTCAAAAATGTTACTTTTATGCTCAACACTGTATTGGCCAAAGGTTAATATGAGCTTAACTGGCTTGTTCCAATGGTGTTCAGGTCGGATTTTTCAGGCCAGTCTAGTTTTGCAGCTGTGTCTGGACAGACGTCTCTTTCAGAAGCTTGTGAAAGGTTCATGACAAAGTTGGAAACAGAATTCTCTAGAATGTTATTGCATGTGTAACCTAAAGATTCATTTTCACTAGAATTCCTGGAATAGACAGACCTGTTAATTAAGAATGGGGCATCCACATATGTTTGGCCATAATATGTATGATGTTTTGTATTAAATATTTGTTGTGTGAAATGTTTGGTTTTGTTGGTTTTACCATTTCTGGTCATCAATATTAAATGCTGAAACAGAAATGTGATTTGTGATCACATCAGGATTTTTTAAACTATGATGGCATAGATTATATTCGAGGTATTCATTTGTTTGCTGTGAGTTGAATATTTATTGACGTTGAAGATTTAGTCACTCCAAAGATAATAATGGTAACTTTAATATGATGCAAGTGTGATTTTCCAAAGGAAAGATTCTCCAAAATAAGAGTTTCATGGGATAACGGTAACACCACAGCATAGCTTTAAATGCTTTTACAGGTTATTATTTTGAGGGAAAGTCCACTAACTTGATTGTTTTTCTTTTTATCATATGTACTGATAAATTATTTGTTGAGCTATGCATTATAAATTATGGATGTTTTGCTTCAAAAATAAAGCAAACTTCTAGATTATGTGATTCTGTTTCTTTGTGTACATAAACACTATTTTACGCATTTCAAAACTTTACATCTATGCAACGTTAGACAAAATGAAAATGAATGCATTTCAATTGTTTATTCATGTTTAAATTCCAAATGCAGCTGTAATAATGCATGGCACATTTTCATCAGCTTCAGACACAGAGATTGATTGGCTCTTCTGTCGGCAATCTTTTTTTTATATTGCACAATAACATCAGTAACCATGGCAACAAATGAGCCTTCAAGCACTATATACATATTATACAGATTTCAGAACCAACATGCTGCTTATTTTTCTCTCTACATGAATTCAAGTGTCTTTTTCCCCCTCTGGCTTTGGTCTTTCATCCAACACATTACTGCATCAAATCAATCCCTCAGTTACTCTTCATCAGCAGCTCTGGTCCCACCAATCCCTGCCAAAGTTTGCCATCTCTAGTTCAGAAATCTTCAAAACTATCATTGATTATATCTTCACAGGAATAACTGCACAAATCAATGACAACTTGAATTTTATATTCATTTTTGCAAATGCAGAAAATCACAAACCTATTTATTTGCTTGTGAACTAAGTTTGTATATCTGGCATAAGTGACTGCCAAGACACCCAAAGCACTCCTACAGAATTCCTACAAGGTGGTTAAAATAGTGCTAGTAAATATGGGTTACTTGAAATCAGTGTACATACAGAAGTCGACATCAACAGCACAGTTTAGGCAGAAATGAGAGAAATTAACCATGCAAACTTTGGCATGTTTGGTGAACCTCACCTCACAAAAGAACAAGTGTACTTTATTTTTGTCGACCTCCATCATGCAAATAATAAACACAGCATTCCATTTCAGTCAGTAGCACTGGATAATGATGATAATATCAGCAATCATACTAATACTAACAGTGGCTCAATATATGGCACAATGACACTTGATGAAAGCACATGAACTTATTTCACATGCTTTAGTTGCCATTTCATCTCATGACACGTGTCAGCAGAGGTCAGCGCTCAGAACGGCTCGCATGCTGACCAGTGTTTTTGCCAAAAATCCCTGAGATACTCGAGGGAATTCTGTGGCAGTCTGTTTATATCTCAGAAAGTAAAGAATGTATTTTCTTTCTCGTGGCAAAAGATAAATGTCTTCTCACAAACAGGCAATCAATAGGCATCTGGATTTTAACAGCCTACTGTTAAAGGAAGAGGTAACATTTTTCCTTTAGAAAGATTTTAGAAAGAAAGAGGGTGAGGTGGGTGAGTTAGAGGTGCTGACCGGTTGTCAGCTGGTTCAACGGGGGGCAGAAAGCTGAAGTCCCTCCCTGACACGCTTCTTGGCAGGTTGCTGCAGACCGGTTGTTTCCATGGCGATCGCAGAGGACGCAGGGGTCACGCGACCCCAAGCAGAAGAACCTGCGGACACACCTGTGAAGACTTTACCTGCAGAACAGTGAAAGAGCCTACATGACCCAAATCAATCCTGCTGATTATCAGAATCACATCAGGGGAAGCTGAGATGCATTGCTGAGGTTAATACTCACACACACTCTCACTCACACACACACACACACACACACGATTACACACACACACACACACACACACAGAGTCAGTTCGAACATTTTGTAATGTTTTTGAATCATTTGTAAATAATATTCTGAGTGTTTGATCAGTTGATTTGTCTGTTAGCACATGCTGCAGTGTTTATAGTGATGCACCGAAATGTTTCATTTATTCGGCTGAACAAGTTCTGTATGCTGGAAAGCATTGACCGAAACGGTGATGTTTAATTAGCACTTTTCCAGTCTCTATTTCACTACAATAGGATAACCGTGTGGACGTTAGTGCTGGATTAACGCCACATTTACCTCAGGAAAGTCATTCTATATACATAAACTCAATAGTCAGCTTAAAAAAAAAACTCTAGACAGAAGCATTTTGTTAAATATATGCACAGTATTACATATTCATTATAGTTTCACTTAACCTGTTGTCTTCATTATTTAATGTACGTTTGAATAAATCTGTCATGAAAAGTTTATTACAGCCACTGTTTAAATTTTGATATTTCAACAACGAATTGGAGAAGAACCACAATAAAAACTGCCTTATGTGCAATATATGTTTATATGCAACTCAGTTTGAGTGTTGATTATTAAATAAATACAATTTTGGTTTCTGTGTTTCAGGAAAAAATTAATTTCGGTGCATCATTAGTGTTGTTTTGTGATGCAGCATGTGTGATAAATCTCGTCCCTGTGTGTGATTGGACGAATCATGAGTAACTCAAGCGACCCCTGATGTCACATGACTGATCTCACAGAAGGAAGTGCTCAAGCAATGACGACACAAGCAGCGTGAGCTGAAACCCACGCCACAAACCAGACTGTTACCATGGCAAAGAGAGGAAGAGGAGGAGCTTAGAGAGGAAATCCTGAGCTCATTCTTCTGGAAACACTCGGAGAAAATGAGAGAAATAGAGGAAAGACAGAAGAAAGAAAGAAGGAGGTCGAGATTCAAGATGAGGGACAAACACGAGACAAACAGCACTGAACACAACCTATCTGAGGTCAAACCAACACTCACCTCTAGATTCGCTCGTGCTTTCTTCAGCAAATCTCGCGTCCGGGAAACTGTAAGACAGACGTGTTCTTTACAGCTCTGATTCTGATGACATCATTAGACTAAAACACCTTTGCTAATACACAAAACCACAACTCCAAACTCACTTTGACAAACCTCAAACTACTGAAACAAATCTAAGCTAATTGTGATTACGATGTTTGCCATAATCAAGTTTCAGCTTCTGAGAAATAACTGTAACACTTGACAACAGGCTGTCTGGACTCACGCTGGTTGACGATGAAGGTCTCCATGCTTTCTTTGGTTCGGTTGGAGCAGCGCAGACGCTGGATGGTTCCCTGAAGAACCTCCTCCTGTTCAGCGATCCGCAAACGCAGTGACTGGATCTCCTCACGCATGACCTGCTCCTGAGAGGAAACAGCGCCACATTCAGCTCAGTTCATTCACATTAACACTGCATTTGATTTTTAGGGCTCAATAAATGCGGTTCGAACCCTCTGAACGAGATGAGCGGGACCGTCGCTGCTCGGAAGCGCCGCCCGCCAGAACATCTTGAGCAGAGACACGGCTTCGTCCAGAATCTGATGCAAGGTCTTGGTGTCGGAGAGCAGCGTCTTCACTGTGCTGTAGTCCAGAGCCTGTAAGAGAGAAACACATGACACCACTGCTGTTTGCACAAGCGCTCTGATCTGTCACGCATCTGAGCATCACCTTTCCTCCGCTGATCTCCAGCAGGGCAGAGCTGAGACTCGACTGCAGCGCCGCCTCCATCCGCTGCACCAGCGCCCGGCCCTCCATCACCTGCTGCTGCAGGGCGCTGTAGTCGTCCACGTGACCGATGGCGTGCCGCCCGTTACGGTTCGCGAACGAGCCATCCGGAGCTTCTCCTTCCAGATCCGCATGAGGCTCCAGTGAGTCTGAAGCAAAGACGGTTTTCAGTTCTTCTCATCAACCTAGTTACTGCACTTGAACATTCCTCAAACAGTACCATTAATAACTAGTTCTCAACCAGAAGTACTTCAACAGGTTCCAGGAGGTAGTTGGAAAGTTTATCTGGAGCTGCTGCCAGAATTGCTAAAACTCATCACAAACAAGCGCAGGTTCTCATTAAAGCCATGCCTATTAATATAAGTTATATTTACATAGCACTTTTCACAATGCACACTGTTTCACAGCAGAAAATTCATAATATCAATAATAATGAAACAGTGATATGAGCAGTTCACAGTTAGCAAAGACACACACCGTTAGTGTTCACAGCGCTCTCCTCTATCTCTGAGTACGGCGAGTACAAGGGCCCCACGTCTCTGACAGGAGGAGAAGGAGACGGGTCTGTGGAGCACGGCAGAGCGGTTAGTACATCACAAAAACATCACGTTCATTCAAACGCAACATTTCTGGCAAACAGCAGGTCATTCTTGACATATTCAAGCACTTCTCAGGGCACATGCCAACACGTCACACGCAAGCGTCGTTTTCTAGTTGTTAAATGACACATACAAGACATTCAGAGTGAAATCAGCATGTGTAAAATTTTACCGTGCAGAAGCTGTCGGCGGTAAAGCACGTCCCGCAGCGGACTGGCCGGGATGATGGGCGATGGGCGCTGATCGATGGACTGATCCAGGTGTTTCTGCAGCTGAGCTCGTAGATCACTGTTCTCCTGAACACTGCACTCCAGCTGGGCCCTTAGAGCCCGGACCTCCACCAGCAGCTCCCGCAGCTCCACCGCCGGGCAGCGCACCTCACACACCAACCCTACAGCAGCGGCCGACAGAGAGCAAGCCTTTCAACAGCCTCAGTGCACCGACTGGATGACAAAATCAATACCTGATTCGTTTTGAGCAACTGGAAACTGTCAGTTGCTGATAATCTTGCCCTCCGCGGTTAGTGCTCAATATTCAACATCACCGATGTACATATTCACACTTCACATGATGATAGATATTGCACCGCAGCAAATCAGACTAGCGAGCGGCAGCGAAGGGCCTCTTTTACATACATCTGTTGTGTTTCACAGAAAAAAGAGACTCATATAGGTTTGCAACAACATGAGGGTAAATAAACCAAGCCAGCATCTTTTTATTTTGGATGTGGGGTGGATCATTCCGGTGTGCTTGCGGTGTCTCACCTGCAGCGGCGCTCTTTCTCACGCCACACACGCGGTCGTACAGCTGTAGTTCACTCTGTAGGGCGTGTAGCAGCTGTCTGCTCTCTGCTAACTGCTGCTGGAGTAAAGTCACCTCGTGCTGCAGTCTGAACACAGATCACCAGTTACTCAGCCTTCATTCATGTGTCACACTTATCAGTAAGAAACAGATCACAGTGATCAGAAATTGCCTATTGAAACAACTTTCTTTACATGAAGCTGTTCATATGGTTTCTCTGACCTGTTGTTGTGCTCCTGACTGTTTTGTCTGTCCTGTCGCAGCTGCTGGATTTGTTGGCTTTGTTCACAGTTGTGTGTCTGCAGCCTCCTCAACTCCTCCTTCCATTGCTCCGCCTCTAACTCCGCCTGCTGCAGACGGACACGCCCAGAAAGCACCGCCTCCCGGAGCTGCTCCTTCTCTTCACTGCTGTCTGCGTCACACAAATGTCAAATTATTAACTCTCCAGGGTCCTACACACAGTGATGATCATTTTGAAAATACACAAGACTGTAAGATTAATGTGAATTAATGTGTACATTTTGCTGAAATACATATCCACTTTTAGCAGAGGCATTAAATGCATGTGATTTGTTGCACTTATATTTGCCAGTGTTGTCCACAAATTATGTCTATGTGGTCTATAGATTGATGGGCTGAGTAAAAGAAGAGCTAAACTATAATGCTCTCCATCGGCTGTTATAGGTTATCTAGTCAAGTGTTTCACAACCCTGTTCCTGGAGGCACAACAGTAAGCGTGACCCATTCATCAATTCATTCACCTGTCTACCTGTCGCACTCGTATTTGATATCGTCAGAGTTATTATAATAGTCTGGTCAGGTCACCTTTATTTCTATAGTACTTTATACAGTACTGATTGTGTCAAAGCAGCTTTACATTGTTAAACAGGAACATAGTTTGTCAATAATACAAGAAGACAACAACAAAGAGTCATTTTTCCAGCTAAAGTCAGTTCATTGATGATTCAGTGATGATTCAGTTCAGCTCTCTTCCAATAGTTTCTGTGCAATCAGTCAAGTGTGAGAGAGTGAGTGTGTGTGTGAGTGAGTGAGTGAGTGAGTGAGTGAGTGAGTGAGTGAGTGAGTGAGTGAGTGAGTTTGTACCTCTGCTGGCTTGTAACCTTGACTGTAGTGCCAGATTTTCCTCCTTTAACGTTCTGACTTCATTGGTCAGTTGACTGACTGCATCATGACTGTGGATAAAGATGCTGGTTGGAGCCACTGTCAAACACACACACACACACACACCAGCAATGAGCCTCTGGTTTATGTTTGAAATGGTCCTTACATCTGTAAACAAGCACACAGACTCAATTTAAACTCTGTCATTTTGTATAAAGCAGCTCAGCGATCAACAGTGAACAGATTTATTGGCAGAGTGTGAACAATTGTTTATTGAACTGTTGTATAAATCAATGACACTCGCAATCATGCTCTTATTCTGAAAATCAGTCATGTGATGTCTGTGGTCCAATCACAGATCAATGGCATGAATGTGAGCATTATATTGTGTGGATATATGAATTGTATGAGATTGTCTCTCACAGACACACACACCTGTGTCTCTCGCTGCTGTGGCCAGACGTCCCTCTAACTGCTGTCTCAATCTCTCGTTGGTTCTGATAGAATCTTCCAGCCGCTGACGCAGAGATCGGATCTCTCTCAGATGCTCCTCGATCACGTCTACACCTGTATCACCACATCATAATTACAGCAACTCAACATGAATTAAAAACGAGTGCATTTGTTCTCATTGTTTGTCAGTTTGTTTTTATTTAAACCGCTAACTGAGCTGCTGGACAGTCTCACACACACACACACACACACACACACACACACACACCTGATTGGCTGTTGCCAGACTGATAATGAGATGATCCATCAAAACCTCCGATTGGCTGAATCATATTCTCCATGTCCCACAATGCATCTGTCTGCACAGATAGGCCTCCACTGTTTCCCCGTGTATGATGGGATACAGGCGTGTAATCGATGGGACGGGGCATGTGCGCGGTCAGCTGATAGCTGGAGAGCGAATGAGGCGCGCTGAAAGCTGTGGGGAAAAGAATGAAGCAGAAATTCAGTTCAGAACTAAACAAGTCTCTAAACGATTGGTTTCTATCAAGTGAAAAGATTCACTTCTGCTCATATCACCAGAATTTGCCAGGTCATAAATAAATAATAATAAATAGGAATAAATTAATTATGTCTAGTCACTTTGCCTACGCCTATTTCATGAGATAATCTCTATATCAATAACCCGTCACTTCAGATCATTCACATTATGGCACATCAAAGTTTGTAATGTAAAATTAAGCTGAATTAAATTATGTTAAAATATGTCCTCAACTCTCCTTAACAAAAACGTGGTTGTGTCTGTTCATGGGTTTGTAGGAACGTAGTCAGTTACACGCAGCACAAAGTGTGTGTTAGTCAGTCATGGACAAACACAATCCCACACACATGCCGTGTGCTCACTTCTCATGGGCGGCCTCCTCTGTGCTGAGACAGTCAGGATCCTGCGGTCAGGGTCAGGGCAGGTCACGGGGGCAAAGGTCATGGGGTTAGAATGAGCACTGATCTGCTGGGTTTGGATCAGAAGCTGTGAGCTGGACAAGAGTTCTGTGAACACACCTGCAGACGGCGGAGCAGAGATGTGTGTCAATGACATACCGTCTACCTGTCGCACTCTCCTGTGTCCTGTAGGGGGAGACACTGGACTACGGCAGTACCACAGTAATGAGGACCTTCATCATGAGCATTCAGGTTAAAACGCACACTGTGAAGTTTGGGAGCGACAGCCTGAGACCTCTAGTGAAAAAATTATCAAAAAGAAAAGCTGATTGTAAAATTGTAAAATCACAAAAAGATTGTTCTGTTTTGTCTTGTTTTAATGGCAGCAGCACTGATGCTACACGAATAAAACCTGAGGATCATGTTTTCCAGCACAAGATGATCCAAAGAGAAGAAGATCTGACTGTCTGTTCTGATCTGAGTCACATGAACAATGTCACTCAATAAATGTTAGGTTTCTTTGTTTTATCTGTGTGTGTGTGTGTGTGTGTGTGTGTGTGTGTGTGTGTGTGAGAGTGAGTGAGTGAGTGAGTGATTGTGGGTGTGTGTGTGTTTTAGATGGTATTTGTATGACGGAGGTTTTCGCACCTCTGTCTTTGGGTTCGGGCTCCTCCTGTGCAAACTCACTGGCTGCGTCCATGTCTGAGCACAGGTCCACATCCCCATTGTTGGAGCCTCTTTCGTCAGACACAAACGAGGCGCAATCTGATTGGTCTGTTGTCTCAGAGGGGGCGTGGCTGCTGCAGGGCGTGTCGGGACGCTGCTGTAACTGGGTGTGCAGAGACTCGATGATTTGATCTTTGTGTTGGAGCTCCTTACTCAACCTATTGAAGAACATGATCACCGGTCATTAATAGAGTGAAGTGAACTAATGCACATTATATTCCAGAGGAGACACCTCACCTCAGCGCTAGCAGCTCGTGACCCGTTTTAGCATCTTGCTGCTCTGAACGATCACCTGACAACCAAAGAAAACATTTAGTGAAGGACTGTATGATATCTACACACAGAAGACACTTAAAGGATCCGATCACAGCCTGAGAAAGCGGAGCGTACAGGAATATTTACCATATGTCTCTTTAAGCTTTATTTCTATATGCAGTTATATGAGAAACACCAGTGCGTGTGACTGGCAGTGATCATGTCTGTCTGCTACCCTTCCTTCAGAAATCACATGAACAAAAATAGTTCAGCCTTTGGCTGCAAATTTACAGACACAGACAGTAAATAAAGAAATCAATGCCTCATTATTGCTGTTGTCTGATAATGTAGTCAATATGCAATCAATATAATCTTTTAAAAGTCAATGAAAAACTGGTTATTATTTTTATTTAATTTGATCTGATTAAATAATTCAGTCTGTTACCGTCCCCGTCATCACAAGGTTTTTACTGCACAATTTGTAGCTTCTGCTGCTGTTGTTAATACAGCACATATTATTATAGGTCACATGACACCGGCACTATATACACCTGAACAAACGACTGCATGCAGCTGCTGACATGCTTTACTGTATGTGTGTGTGTGTGTGTGTGTAAGGAGTGTGTGCACACACTCACGTCCACTGATCTTGGTGCTGACTCTCTGAGCAAGTGAGGAACTCTGGGAAAGCTGCTCTCGGAAGCTTTGGCCCATGTAGTAATCGATGTCGTTGGCGCGCAGCAGCTCCTCGAAGGCTTTGGTCGTGTCACTCAGGTGCTGCGTGAGGATGTGGCAGATGCCCCGCCCCTCTCGCATCTTCTGCCGCAGGTGTGACAGCTCTCGTGCCTGTGCCTGGATCAGTGTGTTGTACTTCCTGTACAAACAAAAATATATGTTGCGAGTCCTGCACTGTTTGTTGCTGCATCTGCTCTGAAAACCCCGGGCTGATGATTTATACAGCGCAGCAGCAGAAGACCAGGAAGAACTTATCAACAGGTGCTCGTAAACACACATCAGCACTGAGCATCACCAACACGATTGTCATCTGTAGAGCGGCTTAGAGCCAAAGTGGATTTAATAACTGATGGACTTTGCACAGCTGTTGAACTGAACTGAACCAACACTGAACTGTGGCCAGTTGCAGAAACTGCTTAGAAGAGGCTTAAAAGATTGTCATCTAATTTTTTTCTTCAAGACTGGTCATAACTTTTTTAATTCATATTGTAAAATGAATGAAATGTGAGACTGATTACCTCTAACTGCTAGTGGGTCAAATTAGTTCTTAAGACACAGTGTTAAAGGGGTCATGACCTTCATTTTTTATTATTTTATAGTTGTCTGAGGTTCACTTATAATGTTAGTGTGATTTTACAACAAAAAACATCATCATTTAGAAGTAACAGGCTATTTTCTCTCCTGTTTTTGAGCCTCTCTGCAGAACGCTCTGTTTTTATAGGCGGGGCTCATTCAAGACTCAAGGAAACGCCCACTGCTGTGATTGGATAACAGTTTCGCTTATTAAAATAACAGATGGACGCTGCTGTGATGTACTCTGCAAACAACATGGGTCATTTGGGTTAAAAATGTGTGAATCCTCAGTATATATCAAACTGTCTGGAACAGACAATGCAATGGTGGTGAAAGCACGTTCCCTCACACTTCTGTGTGACACATTACTGTCAGATCCGCTCTAGTCAGACTCAGCGCTGCATCAGCCTTTACTCTCAGTCTCTCTGAAAAGCCTGCATCATACTGTCTTGTTTAAAAATTAATCCGTAGCAAAGTAAAGCAAACAAACAAACAAACACTGATGCGATCTGGAGCTCTTTGCTAATTTACCCCGTGTTTACACCTGACGTGTCCAGTCTAGATATGTTAGGATCACAAGGCAATTCAAAGACTGTTTTTCACAACTTACACTACACAGTGTCTTGTGATCTTGTAATGTCATCTGTCTGCTTCTGTTGATGGAGCAATCCTGTGTTTGCATCTCTCCTCTACTACAAGCGTGTATCAGTGGGCGGGGCTAAAGAGGCAGTGATGTAGAATCGGTGGGCGGGGCTAAAGAGGTAGTGATGTAGAATTGGTGGGCGGGGCTAAAGAAGCAGTGATGTAGAATCGGTGGGTGGGGCTAAAGAGGCAGTGATGTAGAAGCAGGCGTTGATCTTCTCCTGCGGAGGCGGGGTTTAGCCACACTATTACGCCATAAAGTGGCTCATTCCACAACAAGTCGTTTTCTGAGCTTGGTTTCAATATAAGCTGTTTTTAGACTAACCAGAAAGTTTGGAGTTTAGAAACTTACAGGATGTTTCTATAGTACATTGGCCTGTTATATGTCAAAAGATCAAGGGAAATTTTATTTTTCTCAGTTCATGACCCCTTTAATCATTGATTGTTATTTTCCTGTTTATTACTGTGAAGCTGCTTTGACTCAGTCTGTACAGCAGAAAGCGCCTCACCCGGGCCAGGTGGCACATTTCCCACCCTCCGCACCGCTCTTCCCCTCCAGCTTGGAGCTCTTGATCTGGGTCTCCAGCAGCGTCACGCGGGTCACCAGCTCCTGCAGCTCGCGGCTGCGTCTCAGCGGCCCGTCGGACTGCCAGCCCTCGTCCTCATCCAGACCGCTGTGATCCGCACTCACCTGAAGCGCCCAGTTCACCTGATGGGTTCACAGAGTTCATCATCACAAGACCGTCCCTGAGGCTTTTTATCAAATGAATACATGAATGAACGTGAACTAATAATCTGAGGGAGAGACCAAAGTAAGAGTGCGGAGTGATTAGAGAGACATGAAATCAGCACAGCTGTGTAGGAATTCAACAATCCAACACTATACTGTTTGGTGTCGTTACAGATTATTGATCACAAAATGACTGGACAATCACAGTCGAGTATTCTAGAGCAACATATGAAAGTATAATATGATCAAGCTGATGCGAGTCTGTAAATGAGGTGGTTGCAGTGTTAGTAACAGATGACTAATGACATCAGGGGAGCGTTACCTTGCGTGGCGTGCGCTCCAGGCTGGAGGCGTAGTCGGAGGTCGCAGAGAGCGAACGGACTCGCAGCTGCAGGCCGCGGATCACTTTGTGGCAGTGAGAGAGCTGTGAGCGCAGGTCCTGCACCAAACGCTTCAGCGAGGACGGGTCATCTGTCTGCGTAACATCGCTGTTGCCATGCCAACCGCTGCATCTGCTCCGCGAATCCAAGAGAGAGATGCACGTCTCCAACTCATCAAACTCTGACAGATGAACATGACATGCTTGTGAGCTGCGCACATGGTGAATGTTCATCCAGTGCAAAACATTTGTGAATGAGATGCACAGCATCATTGGCATCACAGAATGCAGCAGAAATATAGATGTGCTGTGTACAGAAGTGTCTCATGAACATGATAATAAGCTTTTGTTCATGTAGCTCCAGTGCTGCTGTCATTTAAGCAAAAGTCGTTCTCACTTTCACATTTTTCTGTTTAACTTTTCAAAAGGTTTGCATTCTATTAGGAAAGCTTGCAAACAGAAGCACTAGTTTGGACCCACTGTGTATTCATGACTTTGGTACGGTGTGTGTCAGGTGTGTGTACCGGGGCTGCTGGCGTCGTCTCTCTCAGCTTCATTCTCACTGCGGCCGCTCGTCTCATATCCAAGATCCTGAAGATCCACCTGCACCTGTTTACTGTCCTGCTGGACGGCGCTGTCGGCTGACAGAGACAAAACCAGTCAGCACAAACAACAGGGGTGTGTGTGTTTATGAGTGAGTGTGTGAGTAAGTGTGTGTGTGTGTGTGTGAGAGATCGTGTGTGTGTGTGTGTGTGTGTGTGTGTGTGTGTGTGTGTCCTCACTCAGCAGCTCTCTGTAGTCTTTCAGTTGTTCGGCCTGCGCTTGCACTGTCGCCTCTGACACCATCAGTCTCTCCTGCAGATCACGGCTCTCCTGACGACTCACGGCAAGGTCGCTACGGAGACGCTCCGCCTGCTCCCGAAGCCCCGCCTCCACATGCTGCCAGAACCCAATGGCTCCGCCTCTTCCTGCTCTCGGACTGCCGCTGTCGCCATCAACCTCTTGCTCCATTTCTACATCCTGATCATAAAATAAACAAACCAATGTTCTTGCCTGATCATTTTTAGTACTACTATCTGTACTTTGCTGTATTGAAATGAACCAGGTTAGGGTTAACCAGTGCTAGTTATGTGGACGATGTGGCATGATTTATTACCTGAACTTTGAGATGGGCTGCAGGTTTGTGTGACAGCAGAGCTCCGAGGTCCAGAGAATGTGGTCTGGTGCACCTCCTCTTCCACCTCCCCTCCCGCAGCTCCACACTCGGGGGCCCGCGCTTGCCGTGACGGGCCCGGGCATCTTCCCCTTCCACTTCATCATCATATTCTTCCTCCTCCTCCTCTCTGAACGTACGGTAAACTCTCTGAGGCTCATGGGAGTTTGGCCGGTCTGTTTCACGCTTCTCCAACCTCGCAGATTCCTCCTCATCTGCTGCTAATGCAGGCTCGTTCCTACGAAAGCAACGACACAATCACAGCAGAGCAGGAAGAAGCCATCAAACAGAAGTGATCTGCACCGCTGTTGGTACCTGCTGCGAGAGAGTGAGGAGCGGCCCGTCTCGCCTTCGTTTCTCTGCTCTGATGCATGCTGGGACATCAGCACCCCGTTCCCCGGTCTACTGAACTCCTCGGCTCTCTGTCAGGAGAACACAGTGAGCTCTGAGCTACGCTAATACAAACAAATGTTAAAGACCCAATGAAAGGGCTCAGTGAGCAGCGCTTTGTTTCCAGTGTGTGTTGATTGTATTTCCTGTTGACACGGGAAGTCAGGTGGAACATATCAAAGGGAAGAGCCAATTTCTAAAGAACATTGTATTTCAGAAAGTAAGCTTTACAGCTTAAATGTGTATGTGAGTTAAAGACATTGTCTTTTAGCATGTATGCTAGCACTAGAGATAAACAAGCTTTAAGCTACAGATGTGAATTAAAAGCCACAAAACAAATATTTTGATGCTACAGTGTCTTTAAGTAAATCATAATATCTGAAGGGTGTGTGGCTTTCATCTGCCTGATAACTGAAATATCTGAATCACAGATGGACGATCAAACCCTGAACTCTAGGAGACGTGGCGCTGACAGAGAAAGCTCTGAATGAAAGTGTTTGCTCATTAACAGCTGTTTTCTTCTTACCTGTGCGCTGGTCAAACTCTGAGCTGTCAGTTTGAGGTCGTTGTCCTCTATGCTGTCCGTGAACTCTTCACTGCTGTCATGATCGTCTTCATCTTCATCACTGCTGGATTCTAGAAGGAAACATGACAGACACTAAGATTCCTCTTCATTCATCTCTTTCTTTCATCTGTCTGTTTCTCTGTTGTCCAGTCATTGTCTCGTTCTGTCTGTGTTTCCAGAGCCGAATCTGTCTGTCCAGCTGCCTTTCCTTCACTCCCATAGTGAATGTTAAAGGGTTAGTTCATGCAAAAACAGACATTCTGCTGTCATTTACTCACTCTGTCATTGCATACCAGTATGACTTTCGTTAGAGGAACACAAAACATCATTTTTGTCTCATTTTTTTCTTTTCATACAATGAAGGTCAATGGGATTCAATGTTATTTGTACCTCAACATTTCTCTAAATATATTGTTTTGTGTCCCAAAGAAGAAAATCAGCCATAAAGACTTAAATAACATAAAGGGTGAGTAGATGACAAATTCTCTTTTTTGGGTGGACTGTCCTTTTAAAGTCACATTCTGCTCTGTTATTCTGGTTATATAACCTGAGTTTATATAAAAGTCCTGAAACTACAGCAGCAAAGAAAGAAAGAAAGATTACTGTAGTACGGCTAGATTATGAAACCATCACTAACCCTAACTAACCCGTCCATGTGGATCTTCAGCTGGAATCTGCTGCTTCAGTTCGTCTGTGAATGTTGTGACACGAGAGATTTGCTGCAGTTTATTCAGTAACACTGAAGGATTACTGGAGTCATGTGGACTCTATAAAATATTGTCTTTCAGGAATGAAAGGAAATATAGTATTTCAGATGTGTATAAAGCGGATCATGTGATTAACTGTATGAATGGAATATTTGTACAGTATCATGCAAGACAGATAAATATAGATGAAGTGTTTCGTATTAACAACATTACAAAATATTGTATAATAATCGGTATTGTATAAAGCGCTATACAAATAAAGGTGACTTGACTTGACAAAGACCCAGAGACGGTGCTTTAAAGTCACTTCTATTTGGATAATTTAAAGATTCTAGTTTACTTTTTATGTGTTACTTTTCTTAACTGACTGCAGTAGACAGATTAATATTTCTTGAAGAAAAAAATTGTAGACTTTTTAAATCTATTGTTTTTGTCTTCTCATTTCAGCCAAACAAATATTATAAAACAAATGCCATTTAAGGTGACAGCAGTCATGACTAGCAGTCATCTGTAAAAAGGCCCTGAAACACAGAAAAACTACTTACTACATAAATAAAATTCATTAATACAAAATTAAAAACATTTGCATATAAAAAACTGGTAAATAAAATAAAATATATAAACAATAGGACAAATACAATGTACTAATATAAACTTAAGTTTTTCAGGTACAGGGTTAAGGTATTGATAGTTTTCACGTGACGTCACACCCGTATGGGAACGCCCACCTGGAGGACAAAACAGTTATTTTTACGCAGTTTGCATTAAGTAGCAATATAGTAAAACACAGATATTAAAAGGCGAAATTCAGTAAACACCTTATTGATTATGTATATTTTGCACAGGCAAGCAGATGAAGCCAGAATATAAAGCAATGTGCAAAGTTTCACGGTTAAATGGTTTCCCATAGAAAACACTGAACCATTAAGCGGATTGCATTCATATTCCGGCCCTAATGCTTGCCTATGTACACTGTGCATCATTAATATAGAGAATATTACTGTTTTAAATATATTAAGGCACTTTAAGTGTTTTTACACAGTTTTGTCGCACTGTTTAGTGATTGAAATATTGCCGCGGGTGCTTAATGTGGATTGCAAATGGCCAAAACCTGCATTTTGTTCACATACCTTTATTTTATTCTTTTGAGAGGTGATCTAAATATTTGCGGCTGTGAAACAGATGGAAAATTGACAGGCTTGTGCTGCAGTTCTGTGGATGTTTTGCCCTCCAGGTCTTCGAGCCGGTCACGTGACTGAAAGCTATGAATAGTAAGTATATTTCAGGTATCCTAGGTTTAATTAACATGCCTTAATATAAAAATAAAATACTGTATAGTCTCCGCTGTATGAATTACATATACATTGATTCATAATAAAAATACAAAAGTGGTTTCATTAGGTTTTTTTCTTCTATTTTTATTAACATTAATGTAACAGATGTCAGCAGTTTATTAGGCCGCTGTCCCTTTAAGATTGAATGCACAGATCTAATATGCTGTTACACATCTGGGCCCGTATTCACAAAACATTTTATCTTACCACTAAGAGCTCTCCTAAATAGCAGTAAAAGTTTTCTCTTAAAACCTATTCACAAAGCTGCTGAGACAAACTTTTACTAAGGAATAGAGAGAAGTCTTAAGCTGAGAGTAAGGGGGCGGGGTTGACCTTGTTGCTATGGATGATGTCATCAAGCTTATTAACTATGCACACAGTGATTGGCTGATAGTCTCTGTCAGAGATTTATTCATAGAAATATTGTAGAGCGCAATATTATGTTGCCATATTCAAATAAAGTTTTTAAAATAAAAAGGTTAATTGCCACATTTAAATAAAGATTTTAAAAAGCAGGCTAAGTGTCACTAATTAAACAAGTAGGCTATATATTCAGCTAATTGTCAGCCTCTTATATGTATGCTTCTCGTAAACAATTAGCCAATATGCATTAGGGCTGCCCTCGACTAAAGATTTTTCTGGTCGACTAGTAGTCCTTCATTTTAAGCATTAGTCGACTATTAGTCGCACTTCTATTAATAAACCATATGAATCATAATAATGAGCCTTTAATTGCCTACATAGCCTAATAAGTGCTCAAGCGCATGCAAAAAAGGCTTGCCACAGCGCACCGGCAAATATAATAATTATGAATGTGTTAGGGAAAAACAGCAAGTACACTGCATTAACGTTTTAATAATTTATTGTTACACTAGTGCTCTCTGTTTTCGGTTCAAGAGATGAAGTCGGCGACACTGACTCGTCATCTCCGCAGTATGCGCCTGTATGCATGTTTCATACGGATTACATAATCTGAGAATATTTGTTTTCTATTTTAATTGGTTCATTTTAAAGTTTCACTCTCTATAGATATATTTTTTATGTCAATTCAGTAAACACCTTATTGATTATGTATATTTTGCACAGGCAAGCAGATGAAGCCAGAATATAAAGCAATGTGCAAAGTTTCACGGTTAAATGGTTTCCCATAGAAAACACTGAACCATTAAGCGGATTGCATTCATATTCCGGCCCTAATGCTTGCCTATGTACACTGTGCATCATTAATATAGAGAATATTACTGTTTTAAATATATTAAGGCACTTTAAGTGTTTTTACACAGTTTTGTCGCACTGTTTAGTGATTGAAATATTGCCGCGGGTGCTTAATGTGGATTGCAAATGGCCAAAACCTGCATTTTGTTCACATACCTTTATTTTATTCTTTTGAGAGGTGATCTAAATATTTGCGGCTGTGAAACAGATGGAAAATTGACAGGCTTGTGCTGCAGTTCTGTGGATGTTTTGCCCTCCAGGTCTTCGAGCCGGTCACGTGACTGAAAGCTATGAATAGTAAGTATATTTCAGGTATCCTAGGTTTAATTAACATGCCTTAATATAAAAATAAAATACTGTATAGTCTCCGCTGTATGAATTACATATACATTGATTCATAATAAAAATACAAAAGTGGTTTCATTAGGTTTTTTTCTTCTATTTTTATTAACATTAATGTAACAGATGTCAGCAGTTTATTAGGCCGCTGTCCCTTTAAGATTGAATGCACAGATCTAATATGCTGTTACACATCTGGGCCCGTATTCACAAAACATTTTATCTTACCACTAAGAGCTCTCCTAAATAGCAGTAAAAGTTTTCTCTTAAAACCTATTCACAAAGCTGCTGAGACAAACTTTTACTAAGGAATAGACAGAAGTCTTAAAGAGAGTAAGGGGGCGGGGTTGACCTTGTTGCTATGGATGATGTCATCAAGCTTATTAACTATGCACACAGTGATTGGCTGATAGTCTCTGTCAGAGATTTATTCATAGAAATATTGTAGAGCGCAATATTATGTTGCCATATTCAAATAAAGTTTTTAAAATAAAAAGGTTAATTGCCACATTTAAATAAAGATTTTAAAAAGCAGGCTAAGTGTCACTAATTAAACAAGTAGGCTATATATTCAGCTAATTGTCAGCCTCTTATATGTATGCTTCGATAAAAAAAGTTCAGTATAACTAAAATTAGGGCTGCCCTCGACTAAAGATTTTTCTGGTCGACTAGTAGTCCTTCATTTTAAGCATTAGTCGACTATTAGTCGCACTTCTATTAATAAACCATATGAATCATAATAATGAGCCTTTAATTGCCTACATAGCCTAATAAGTGCTCAAGCGCATGCAAAAAAGGCTTGCCACAGCGCACCGGCAAATATAATAATTATGAATGTGTTAGGGAAAAACAGCAAGTACACTGCATTAACGTTTTAATAATTTATTGTTACACTAGTGCTCTCTGTTTTCGGTTCAAGAGATGAAGTCGGCGACACTGACTCGTCATCTCCGCAGTATGCGCCTGTATGCATGTTTCATACGGATTACATAATCTGAGAATATTTGTTTTCTATTTGAATTGGTTCATTTAAAAGTTTCACTCTCTATAGATATATTTTTCATGTCTGTAATAAGGCAAG